TTACACATTTAATCCTAATAGATCACATACTTGATGAGAATGTGTATGTCCAATTTTTCTGTGCATATCTATCATATGTGAAAATTAGACCAGTACTGTGTGTGTCTGATCATTCAGAATATAAAAACAAGACAGGCTTTTCCGCTGGTTGATTTGTATTTCATGAACAGTTCTTTAAAGCATTGAGGATGGATGTTTGTGCTTCGAAATATAGGGCAAACAGATCAGAGACAGCAGCAGGATCAGAGCCCATTAACAATAATAAACCAAACACATGCTCATCACAGAGTCCAAACAGGTGAGGCATATGATGCTGGAACAAATCAATGAGATGAGCCCGTTTAACTCCTTCATAAACAGTCCTGGGCCTGTGAACCGTATTACACGACACCCAGCAGGTAAATGATATATAAAATACTGATATAAAGGGATAAATATACGTGCTCTGCACAATATTACACAACCAATGGTATCACAAAATGTGATCAAATCATATAGTGATGCACACATTCTGTTTATAGCACGATGCATGGAGACATAGCCAACATAATACCAATAAAACACAAGACTAACCTGAATCTCTCTTGTCCGGCGGTGTCCCATAGCTGCAGCTTGATTTTAACGCCGGGCTCGATGTCCAGTGAGCGGGCGTAGAAATCCACCCCGACCGTCGGGTCCGCTGCATCGCTGTAGACGCCGTCCGTGAACCTCTTGAGCAAAGATGATTTGCCCACCGTCGAGTCCCCCAGTAAAATGATCCTGAACTGGTATTGCCATAAAGTATCCATGGCATGGCGAGTGCAGAGCTCCAGGCAGCCACGGGCTCAGAGACAAAGCGGTGTTTACATTGCGTGTGTGTGTGTGTGTGTGTGTGTGTGTGTGTGTGGAGGATGAAGGTGGGGCTGAGGTGGATGGGCTGCAGTCATGTGACGCTCACTCGCATCTCGCTTCTTCTGAATAATGAGTAACTACAGAAAATGGAGTGAATTACTTTCATGTGATATCTGGAGGAAGCGAAACCTGTTTTGCAGAATTGCATGTCGTTATATAACGCTCCCATTATATGTTATACGAGCAGGCCCGTCCCAGTCAGCAAATTTCCTTTGGCGCGGATCTGGCCCATATCAACAGCTAAAGTGTGGCCCAGATTAGTTTGTGTTCGCCGGCCCAAAACTGGTCCACATCTTTTTAGTCAGAACTGAACCTAAACAGTGCCATAACCCAACCCAGAGTGAGCCAAATAATAAAAACAGATGTGGCTGATATATGGACCTTATATGGTATTCTTATATGGCTGAGTTCTGTAAAGGGCTGATTGCCCTTATGTGGCCCACATGTGGCTGATAAACCAAATGCCATTATTTAACCACATTTACACCACACCTATTTTTTTTTTTTTTTAAATACCCATTACACAGTGGCCCTATTTGAGCACATTACTAAAATATTAAAGGCTGCATTTAACAACAGTTTTCTGTTTTCAATTTCTATTTATTTTTAGATACAATAACCAACGCTAAAAAAACAAACAAAAAAATTGTATGCAAACATATAAACTGCACATTTGCACATTGCACTTTTCTAGCAACAAGCTGTGGACACTGAATGACTTGCCTGCGGTAAAGGTAATGCTGTTTTACCGTATTTGTTCGATACAATTTTCGGTACGAATAAGTGTACCATTACACCCCTAGAAAACATTTAAAACACCAAAACTGCACTTACCTGCATAAGAATGTGTCTGGGCAAAGGCTGTTGTTGTAAATAGGGAGCTTTTTCATCATCTTCTTCTTTTCGATTGAAAGAGGAAGCAGAGCGGGAAATAACGGATATATTGTCAAAACTTCAGTAATCCACCAATAGGAATAAGAGAAGACACAAAGCAACCAATAGCATTGTTGAATGGGCTGAGATGTGGACTGCCACTGACCTGCCAGCAGTTTATATGTGTTTTTCCAAATAAAAGCCAAATGTTAACCATAAGTTAACATATTCCATGGTGTGCCATAGCCAAGCCACATATGGCTCTCAGTTGTGTGCTATCATCTGGACCATATACCTCAAAAAAATTGTCATCCAAAAGAAAATTCCCTCCAATTCTAAATCCATGGCAAAACATATACGGTTAAAGTTTGGCCCATATGTGCTCAGCCATGCCATACCTAGGCCAAATGTGACAGCTATCAGCCACATTTGGCCCAAACGTTCTCGCTATCTGTGTTTATGTAATATTTATAAATATGTATAAAGCAATAAGCCACGAGAAACGGTGAACTACGGGGGTTTTAGTAGCTACTAGTAAACAGTGCGTGAAGCGGAGTAATGGGGGTAAAGTCCCTGTACAGCAAGACCTCATGGTTTATTGCTCGTATAAAACAGCAATGCTAAAAAACAAAGTGTTTAATAATGAATAACATGTGTGTTTAATAATAATCGGAGTGAACAATTCATCCTCCGAAAAACAGTAGCCTTTAAGAATGTTGTTCATCAAAACATTATTACGCCTTGTTTTTATTATTATTATTATTATCTTGCTTCTGCTGGGCAAAAAAGGCAAATTGAATTGCAATTATGTCATTATAATTGTGTGGGTGTGATGGCATGGATATCAGAATCTGGTTTGTGTGCTTAATAATCATTGACAAGCTACCCAAGACTGCTGTAATAATCCAAAGTGTTCAAACACCAAACACTTGTTACAAAAAAACAATAGCATTATATTATGTGAACAACTGGCATTTAAAGGGTTACAATCCTACACTGTAAAATCCAATAGTTTAGCTTACTTAGATGTAATTAGTTATCTTTCCTTAGTTGTTATACTTACTAGGTTTTATTACGTTACAGCTACTTTCAAGGCAAATACAACAATTTACTTACTGTTTTGAGTGATACTTAAAATATTCAAGTAGCCACAAAGGAACCAATGATATTAATAAAGCAGTGAGAGGCAGCAGTGCACTAATATGTTGCTAATGTGCAACATAACAACAGAAGAAGAAGAAAAGAAAAAGAGTCGACTTTTCACCCATTTCCTCCATGTCTGCAGTTATCTTTCACTAGTTGCATTCACTCGTTTCCCAAAGTCATCTTGAATGCTGAATTCTCAATTCAACTGAAATATGTGAGAGAACATCACATAAGCTAACATCATAAATTGATGTTGATTTTCCTAAAATGTGTGTTTTTTTTCTTTATGCACCATTATAGTGATTAGCGTTCCCTTTGGTTGGATACTTGGAACTTTATTTATGTTACTATAAGTTTCTTCTTGTTAATGCAGCAATGCATCATGAAGTCAGAGTTACTTGATTTCAAGGGAAGAAAAGTAATAAATATGTTGCTTTCAGAAAGAGATCTATCTTCTCGTTAAAGCATTAGTGTATTTTTTTTTTTCATGTGTTTTTTTAATGAACCTTTTCAAATTTCATTTTTGCATAATTAGCTTGAGATGAGTAAACCTAAATGAAAGGATCAAGTACCTCCTACAGTTCGTCTTTAGTTACTAGAACTCTCGTGTAAGTAAACTATACTAACTAAGCATTTGTCAGTACAACATACTATTCATATTTCACTTTACTTAGTTTTTTCAAGGCAATCGGTTTGCATGCTTTTTTTTAAGTAAGCCCAACTAATTAGATTTTACAGTGTAGTATCCAAACACATGCATGAATTATGATCAGGACTGATTTCGTTTTTTCGATCCACTACGAGAGCTGCGCTGCGTGATATGGATAGGTGTCTCGCATTGAGAGCCAAATATCAGACCACATCGTGTAGCCGATGTATTAATTGATAGTGTTTATGAGTGTTTTGTGGTTACTGGAGATGATCTTGGCTCTGTCCGTGGTGCTGAAGTACATGTGCCGCCATTGGGGCTTCAGCGTGTCATGTAACAATCCCCAAATCCGGAATGTGCTTGTAAATACCATGTAATGTTACAATGGAGATAAAGCGCCTAATGGGGTTATCTTAATCAGCTGACCAGTATCCCACTAATCCTGATCACAGAATTCTCCCGCTATTCGTGTATGGCACAATCTATGGACAGATGGAATTAGCCATTACACAATCATGGGGTTTTTATTTTTTTTTGACTGTGTAATTTATTGGAGCGAACGGTTATAATTTTCAGCCAACGTGTGAAAGCAAGTCAGCTAGAACAGTGTTTCCCAACCGGGGTGCCGTCTGTCGAGAGCAGGGGTGCCGTGTAAAAAATCATTTTTTAATATTTTTAAATTGCTAAAATGTTCAAAAAAGCATCTATTATATAATATCCATTTCTGATGTCGCCAATAATTAGAGATGCACCGAAATTACCCCACTGTAAAATAAAAAAAACACTGAGTGAGCAAAAATTTGTGAGATAGCTAGTTATAATGGTAATTAAATAATGTTTACATAGGCTATGTATAAAAGCCTACATTAAAATCTGTCTGAAATTGGCCTACTGATTGCCACCATTGATGGACACATTTTTTTAATAATATTAAAAATATCTGTATGACATTATATTCTGCAGTTCTTCCCTGTTGTACCGAATATCTATACTTTTCAAATTATCATATCGAAGTTAGAAATTCAAATATTGTGACAAAATTAATTTTGGAGGGTGCCCCACGTTTGTTAAAATTTCCAAAGGGTGCCGCGACTAAAAGAAAGGTTGGGAAACACTGAGTTAGAACACGGGTTTAACAACAACAGCATGGTAATTACTTTATAATTTCAACGTACGTACATATTTTGTATTATTTCACATTGAACAAAAATACTTTTCAGTCGAATAAATAAAAGAAAGTCATCAGACACCATCAAAAATACATCCGATATGTCAGGAAAAAAAAACAGAACTACATTCTACAAATCAGAACTACATATCCCATCAAGCGTTGCGACCCAGCCATCTCATTCAACCAATCAGCGATGAGCCCGTTGACCAATCAGCGTTACGTTTCGCTGTATAAAAGCACGCGTCACACTCTCCTCTTCCTCTTTCAACCCGCGTTCTCAGAGGATGGAGGTGAGTTTTACACAATCCTGTAACACCGAAGATTGTATGCGGTGTTTTAACAGCTAGTTTTCATAACGAGTTTGTTTGATGTTACACCACTAGATCGTTTGTGAATCTCAGGCGTTCAGCGCAGGATGAGTGTTTATGGAGTTTAGTAGTAAGCGGGATGCAGTGTGTAACAGCGTTTGGCCTTCCAGTCTTTAAATATTAAAAATGACTTATTTGTTAACATTTATAAGGCTTCTGAATGCACTTTTGCTCTTGTGAGTGAGTGCAACGTTGTTTGCAGAGTAGTTTCCAAAAGCGGCGATATTTTAGGCTTTTTTGTCAGTTTTGTTTGCCTTGATTGTTCAATGGGTCTAGATTGCTTTTGTATATAATGTGGGAATAGGCTAGATGTACCAAAATGCCACGTCTGTAGCCTTGGGTACATTATGTAGTCAGTTGTGCCTCCATTGGTTTTTTTTATATGCTATAATCACTAAAAAGCTGTCACTCGCTTCAATTTATCGCAATCTCACGATTCTGTGATATGAAGCTCAGAAATGCAAATAATATCTTATTTACGTCGTGTCTATGTGTGGCGTTTAGCGTTCAGTGAATTCTGACTCTGTCATCCTGTATCTATTTATATATATATATATATATATCTCTTTATTAATATT